ACCCACACCGTCTACAGTAGAAATCTGATGCTTGTCAATCTCTATATAATAGTAATAGAACAGAGTAGAAGAATCATTGAAAACTGCATGAAATAAGTTTTTTTAGGAGTTCTCCTTTGCAGTTTTCCAGTGACAGCGATGAACAATTTGTTCATAACTTCAATCATCGTCATGCAAATTCAATAAATTCTTTCTTAAATGTATACAAAATAAACAACGAATTCATGTTGGCTCATTATCAATTCACTCGAATAATTGTTTATTATCAAACGATAAGATAACTAATTTAATATGATTCGAAACTGTTCAAGTATATATCATATCAATTATGTAACTGATTTAGAAGAATATCAATCAACAGAATTATTAGTAAATACACTCGTATATCAAATATATTACCAGTTACATCCATTAAATTGAATCAAGTAAACAAATTTTTTCGTAGAATGTTTAATCGATCTCAACATCGTCAACATACTACTGAGTATCTTAAACAACCTTTTATTAAAAGAAACATCACCAGTTAAACTTTTTCATCGAATAAATATTATTATTACTAATACGAATATTGAAGAAACGCCAAAACTGGAAACTAAGTATATAAACGATAATACCTGTTACAATTGTTCCTTGTTTTAACAATGTTTTAGAATAATATATACGTACTGATCAAGGATGGAGTGTGGATGAACATAAGAGTGTTTTGCCAAATATTTTGCAAAAAAAAACCGAGGATGAGTATTTGGGTAGTTCTTAGCAGTATTGATGCTGGAAAGTCTTACTATCTTGATAGGTGTTTTCACCATGGTATTCAAATTACTTTTAATTTACTAATTAATAATTTCCAATGACAACTTGGGTGTGGGTGTGTGGTTGTGAGAGTGTTGGTGTGCGTGCCGCTATTTCGTCGCCCACACCCACCCACACCCAAAACCCTGTCAGGAATCATCTTGGTATCCATGGCATACGACCAGGCTTATCCAGACTCATGGATATATCTCTCGAGTGGGAGAAATGTGAATGATATGAGTGTGTCCCGTGCGTGCATGAGCGTTACGCTCGGCACGGCGTCATCAGGATGGTTTCTGGTGGCGCGCGCGGATAGAATAATCATTGTTTTCATCAATTCAACGTGATTTATTTGAAAAGAAAGGAAAGAGAATATCAGAGGTTCTTTTGCTTCTTTCTTTTAGTTTAGTTTTATTTTGAATGACCCGACCCAAGATAGAGAGCATCGCGATGCGAGAAAAAAAGAATCAAAGAATGTAAACAAAGAGAACGAAAACAGAATAGAGACAGAAAGCGAATGCCAAAGACGAACAGAGAGAAAACGGACAATAACAGCTGAAGCGATGTGAATATATGTGAACAACATGCCTGTAACAGAGAAAAGAGTAATTCATCGTAATGAGTCTATTCGATTGAAAAACGTTGAACACGAGCGTTCCTCCAATCAACTACATAGAGATTGCCTTGTCGATCGAAAGACAAACCAACGGGAGAATCGATCTGATTTGCTCCTGCTCCTGCACCATTTCCACCCGCAATGACAGTACCCTCTTTTGCTCCTTTAGGCCAACGCATGACTCGATTATTCCCCTGGTCTGCCACATAGATGGTACCCAATTTATCGACGAAGAGTGCTTTAGGATACGACAATTGTGTCAGAGCATTTCCGTAACCTTGACCTCCAGCGACGGCAATGCCTTCTTTTGCATCTTTATTCCATTTCATTACACGATGATTTTGGGTGTCTGACACGTAGACGGCCTGTTGTTGATCGACAAAGATGTATTCTGGTCCGTTGAGTTGATTGAGACCAATACCTTTGCCATTTCCACCCGCCACAATAGTTCTATTATTCGCTCGTTTTTGATACCGTCTTACTTCATGTCTTTTGTCGTCAGAGACGTAGAGATATGTCTGATCATCCATGAACAAACCGAAACAATCGATGTTGTTGATGAAGATTACTCCTCGAGTTGTGCCACTACGACGAGACCATTGTACGACTCGTCCATTCCATCGATCGCAGATAATGAGGCTGTCAGTCTCTTTGTCGATCAGCACATCGGTTGGCAAACCCAATTGATCTAATCCAGATCCTTGGCCCTTTCCACCAGCTACAACTTGTCCATTCTTATCATCCATCTTCCATTGGACGATGCGATGATTCGTGTAGTCAGCAATGATCAGCGTTTGATCATCATCAACGAAGAGACCATGAGGGCTGTAGAGATGATATGTGGTAATTCCAAATCCTTTCCCTCCAGCAACGGTCTTTCCGTTTTGTGACCAGCGAGCATCGATTGGAATATTGGGAATGACTACAATGAACAAAAAAAAACAGAATTGTTATTGTAGAAGAAATCAATGTCTCTCATACACGCGAGAGGTTTCCTTCAAATGATTGAATGTCAACCTTTCAAGAAGAAAGTTGCTCAACACAAAATTATAAAGATACTTTCGTGCTCTAGTAAAATGAAATATTTCAAACAAAGTAAAATGGTATTTTAACAAATAAGCATGAATTCATTTCAACAATTTTCAAATCAAACTTCTTTTAGACTATGGAATGGTTAGTCAAATAAAGTGGGCTTCAAACTGCATGAACTCTAAACTTCAGTATCAATCAGGCATCGTCTACGTGATGCTAGAAGCATTATCTATGGGGATGCTAGAAGCATCATCTAGAAGATGCTAGAAACATGATCTCTGGGTGCTAGGGAGTACCATTTAGGAATTGCGGGAAGAAACATTTGAGGATGCTAGGGAGTATCATCGGTGATGCTAGGAGCGTCATTTATAATGCTGGGGTGTTGGTGGGGGGTTTAGATTAATGTGGATGAGTGTGGGCCTGAGATTTATTTGGTCGATAGCCTGAGGTACATCCTCAAGATAGTGAGCTATGTGAAACTTCTTATGTGAGAACTAGCTGAGAAAATCGAAGTACATGTTTGGAATGTGATACTTTCTACATTCGTGATATTGAGTGGATCAACAGTGATTTGAGTGTCTCTTCGTAGAAGAAATTGAGCGATGTGGTTTTTTTCTGTAATTTAAAAATTATAGTTCTGAATCGCACAGTGTATAGGAGTACTATAGAACTGTTATAGGTTCCGATCTGTATGAACTTCAAACCATTACATTAGAATCTTAGGAGAGAAGATTTTCTGGTATTATCCTGAATATTCAATTGAATGTATTTGAGTGGGACTGTTGTTAGAATTTTGGGACTTAACGAGCAGTTACAGTTGAAATGGCCATGTGAAAGCATGGGTAGTCCCAGATGTAATCGTGTATTATTTTATTATTTTAAAGGTATATGAGCACAGTTCTTGTTTATAAAACTCAATTTGATTATCGTTTCAAGTATGATGTGGAGAATTATTACATCTAGAAGTCTTTAGTGATCCTGAGGGAAAACTACGTTATGCATTCAGAAGTTGACGCCTAATTTGCGCTTAAAATAATATAATGATAGACTTGCTTTTGGCAGTGGCTATATGTTAACAAGAGTATTTAAACTTGAAGTACCTGTTAAGTGCTACATGTCTAATAAGTGTCTCCATAGTTATCCACTGTGAAGAAATTCCTAGTAAAATCGATCAGTCTTTGTCATGTGGGATTCTATGAGGAAAAAGCGAAACCTATCATGACAATCAGCTTGTCCAGCTTGACAGTAACACTTGTTGACCTTTCCTCGTTAGAAGAAAATCTTGATACCTAAATAATATACTTGGGAAAATCGAAAAATTGTGGTTATTTTCTATCAGCATCTGGCTATAATTGTGATGTAGTGCTTGTTCTGAGTATACTTCATTGAACTACAATATCATGTTTACTGTAACGAGGTCTCAAGAAAAAGGAGTTTGGAATAATTGGTGCACAGATGTCGATGCTAATCATTGCCCATTGGGCATTTGGCTGGAATATTAGGAATTACTACAATGAACGAAAAAGAAAAGGCATCGCCATTTTCGAAGAGATAATCCTCCTCTCTCACGCGGGGAACAGAGCTACAAACGAGAGATTCGTCTTCTTCGAAGAGAATTTGTTAAAAGTTTCGAGAATGTTCTTTTCGCAGCGAAAAATTCAGAAGTCTTTTCCTAGTTTCCTACAAAAAAGACGGATTTGGTAATCATTCTTAGACCTACGTCACTTTTAGTTTTTGCCAAGATCTTTTTGACCCTAAAAACTAAACTAGGAGATTGCTGTAAGGAGATTTTTCCAAGAAAGTGCAATGCTAATTCGATGCAAGCTTTCTATAGAAACACAAGAACCTAGAATTTTATTCGAAATTGCAAGAATTCAGAATTTTTTTGTAAAATGATAATTTATATGAATACTGGACAAGAATTTAAGCAATAAAATAATGAACTACATGAAACTCCTAAACTGAAAAAATCCTGAGAAGATTCTATCTACATCTTGTTAGAAGACTGTTGAAGAACGAATGTCAAATCTAATTCCTATGTTTCTGAGGAACCTTAAAGATTCAGTATGTTAATACGATTTTAGCAAGATCATAAGAAAGTTTGTATGCATGTGAAACTGAGTAAATTTAATGGGACTTCAAATGCATCTTTAGAATGTGATACCTTCTACAACTGAGATACTAAGTAGATCAATACTGATCCTATCGGGTGTCTGCATAGAAAACAATTGAGATATGTGCGTTTTATGTGTAATTTAGAAAGAGTGGTTCTTAATGGGATAGCCAGAAAGAATTCTACGGAATTATTATTAAGTTATCGTGAAAATCAGCTTCAGACCATTACATTAGGGTCCTACGAAGAGTCGAAAACGTTTTTAAAGATCGAATAATTTAATCATATGAATCGTAGCTACTTCCTACACAGGTTTTTTACTAACTTTTTTTTTCTGTATATGAACGAATATTTCGTTTTTAAAAGAAACAGACTGCTAGGTGGTTCTTGAATACTTCGGTGGATTGCATATATATTTAACATATATTCTATTCAATTCGATTTGATGCGATCTTTCTTCAAATATCGAATGAAATTACTCGTTTATTCGATTCGGTTTCAATCTCTGTTAAGAATTTACATTTAGGATTTATAAATAGTACTACAATAAAAAAACTGAAATATCTTCACTTCGGTTCGCTCGAATGAGCTGATTGTTTGGTTTGTCGTAGAAGCTTATTTAAAGTTTTCGTTTTTTTTTTTGTTTTTTGATACGCATAACGGAAACAAATATTACTGTTCAGTTATACTTTTTGGTATGATAGAAAAAGAAAGAATGGAAAAATATCGAAAGGTGAAATGCAGAAAAAGAAATAATCGAAAGAAAAGAATCGAACGAAAAATGTCGTAAAGGAAAAATCTCGAATTTAAAAAAAACAATCATAGAATCGATAGAACATTTATTAAGTAAAGAAAATGAATTGAAGAATTCATAACATAGATCTAGACGAAATGTCATTAAACATAGGAGTAATCATGATTCATTTTTTATAAGCAATATTTTTGGTAATAACTTAAATAATCCATCGATTAGTTGATTAGCATCAATATCACTATTTTTGTAAAGTGAATATATAGTATCAAATCAACTGTCACATTCAAGCGACCTCTTATTTCTATTATCTTTCTCATTCTATTTTTTATATTCGATGTTTTTTGTTCGATATTTTTTCTTTTCGATTTTTTTCCATCTGTTCTATTCTGATGCAGATAGAGCAAATTTTCAACACGAATAGTAGTCAGTGTAAATGCCTGAATATTCCTTGCTCATAAGTGAAATATGTTATTACCTTGCAAAAAAACTAATGTTTCATGCTTTGAAAATTCGAAATTTTGTAAGCACTGACTTTTAAGCTAACTAACTGGTTCTGAAAATTTGCTCTGTTCACACCAATATAGTATCATTCATAAAGTTCGGTTTAATTTTGTTTCTTTTATTCTACTAGATAACAGCTGAAAATTATCTATGAAACGCTACAAATCTATTTTTCTCACTGGAAAACAGGTGAAATCATTTTCATGATACCAACAATAATAATTGATAGTAGTGTTTGCTTACTTTATCTGTACGAAAAAAGCATCTGAATAAACTTTTATCACTAAATAAGAAAAAAATAGCCTATTTGATTGAACCAACACAGAGATATTTCTTTTTTTTTATCGTACTGCTATTTATAGTCCACCCTATATATTATGTATATCAAATTAAAAAACCTCAAAAGAATTTGAAATTTCATATAGTGTCCTATGCCAACAAAATTCAAATATAAGACATCATTTTTTCCAAGATGGGAACAAGATTGATATAAATAAAAATTCATCTAAATTATATTTCAAGTAACGCAGATCTATGGAATATGTTATTGTTCTCTTTACTGATGTATTCAATTAAAAGAAACCTAATCTTTACTAATATGTAAAGATATAACCTCCGATGCAAAAGTATCCGTACAAATGTCTGAAGCTATTGCGCAGCGAGGGTGAATCATAGAAATTGGATTAACATGTCTTCTGATAGAGTGAAATGAGCTCTTTTGAATGATGTATGACTTATTCATTCATAAGTAAAAATAAGACTGACGCAGGAAAAACATGGAGGACTTCTAAAATGAATTGTTATCGGATGTACCAAAAGTTTTGCGACATGTTTTATTTTTTCGCATATATCTCGGCTAGAGAAAATGATAAAATCTTTATTTCTTTTTTAAAGATGCGCCGTGAAAAGCTCTATAAACACTGTATACAGAAATGTTCGTTAACTGATTGAGTATGGCGTTTTTTCATACTCAATATGAACAACCTACATGGTAGTGAAATGTGCCAGCGTATTGAGCATGATAAAAATGTTTGGAAGGCTCTTTTTTGTTTTGCAATAGAGATTTATTCATACAGCTTATGTAGAGCTTGTCTTGGCGTATCTTTCAAAAAAAATGACGATGCTATCATTTTCTCAAGCTGAGATATATGCAAAACAAAAAAGACTTTCAAACTTTTTTGTTATGCTGGAACATTGCACTACCATGTAGGTTGTTCATATTGAGTATGGGAAAACGCCATGAGAACTAGTTAACAAACATTTCTGTATACAGTGTTTATAGAGCTTTTCACGGTGCATCTTTAAAAAAGAAACAAAGATTTTATCATTTTCTCTAGCCGAGATATATGCCAGAAAATAAAACATGTCGCAAAACTTTTGGTACATCCGATAACAATTCATTTTAGAAGTCCTCCATGTTTTTTCTGCGTCAGTCTTATTTTTATTTATGAATGAATAAGTCATACATCATTCAAAAGAGCTCATTTCACTCTATCAGAAGACATGTTAATCCAATTTCTATGATTCACCCTCGCTGCGCAATAGCCTCAGACATTTGTACGGATACTTTTGCATCGAAGGTTACAATAAAAATTATTCTACGTTTACGAGGTTCATCGAAGTATTGCACGCTCTGTATATATATACATAATGATAACGTCTAGACTATGATCAAAAATTCACTACACTCTCAGCTGACATCATTATTAAGAAAATACCTTATTAGAAAACATGCAAAAATCTTTTTATCGATTTTATTTTCGAGTCTTTTTTTTCTTCTTACGATCAGAGATTCATTGTGATTCATTTTTGTCCTTTTATGTTCTTATGAAGTCTAAAATACCTACCTTCTTAATATTTTAGATATCAGTTGAGTACAATAAATTTTCAACCATAACTTATGACATGATATTTAAACATTTTTGTATGTTTGTTCTACTTGATATAGTTGACAAATACAAGAACAAAATCAAAATACTCTCGAAGTTTATTAAATATAGCTATTCGCTTCTTTCTTATCTGTGTTGATGTGAATAGAAGAACAGAAAAAAAGAAAACCAAACCTGTTTTTCTCTAGATCATAAACAGAAAGGTGAAACATCTACGATCTGTATTAATTCTTCACTGACAATAAGTTGCTTAAGAAAAAAACTGGTCATCATCACGTACTACGAATGAAAGAGAACAAAATGATAATATCATACAAAGAATCGATAATGAAATCAATAATCCACCGAAAACGAACTAAAATACTAGACTTCCACTCGAGCGAAGCTCGAGTAGATAAGGCGGCTGACTGCGCGAGCCCGAAAAATATCAAAATAGGAGTGTATATGACATCTGCTATTTCAAAATCGTACCCGCCCCTAGAGAAAATCATAATGAATTTAAGTCAAATTCAGCTGTGTTCACTCAGCTGATAAGTGAGAGATAATGAATGTGATCACCTATCGCCATATAAGGAAACATTCAGCTGTTCATTATCGTATTACTCATTTCATCTATATAAGCCATGGCCAGCTTTTCTTGATTGCTCGAGACTCTTTCTTGGATGAATTTAAGTCACATAAGACGATAATTAAATTGTATATGCATTTAACATCTGAGATATTAATGGTCGCTTGAGGTTGAATCATACATCACCATATAAGGAAACTATCAGCTGTTAATTATCGTTTTACATATATTTATTATCTCCCGAACCGAGTGGAATTTTGGAAAACGGATTTCAGATGTGCACTCGTCACGCTCTCACGATCTCAGCAAACTTTTTTCCAGTTCAAAAAGATGTTCAGGTACTGAGAACGAGTGGCTGACTTGATTCGTGACTCATGTGTTGAGAAGAAGAAGAAGAAGAAGAAGAATTTGCCATGGCAACTAACCGAGTGAAAAGCAATAAGTCGGCAGACTGCACTTCGTGCAGTCAGCCGCCTTAATTAATAGAAATAATATAAAGATAAACTAAATGGAACTGAAGAAAAACATTTTCATTTCAACATGTAAATAAAACGTGTAACCATGAAAATAAACTTTTTGCAAACTTTAAATAGTCAATATACTAAATAATTCTAAAGAGATAAGGATTCATCACAACTTAAAGTACATTTTCACTTGAGATCGAACAAAAACAAAAATTCTAGGAAAAAAGGGTTTAGAATTTCAATATATTCATTCATTATGTGAAAAAAAGGTTAGCAAATCATATGATTGTTTCAACTTTAATGCATAATTTATTTATTTGTCTACCTCTAAGTTAAATCAGCAGATGTAGAGAGAGAACCACATAGATTTTTCCCGTCATCATCACGATGAATAAAAAAGTGTCGTAACATCAGTAGATGAAGGTTTAACGTGTTAGAGAAATCGTTAGAACGCTGTTTTTAAATGTCCAAGTACCCTAGTTGATTTATATATAGTAAGTGATATACATGAAATGCATATACCAATAAAAATTTTCTCTGAGCCTATTCTGACGGTTCTTTTAAAGGATTAATTAATCAGTTTTTGACTAATCTTATATCATTCGACCGCGAAATATTTACTCTATACCAAAAACTAAAAAGAAGCTCTTTGCGATCTTGATAGCTAAAACTATGAATGAAATGCTTCAAAAAACGTTTCTGGCAGAATTGAGACACCAAACTTGAAGATTGTCTGAATTCAGAGAGGAAAGAAACGGAGGAGACCTTTAGAATATAGTGCATTTTTATAGTATCTGAAGTCAAATGTTTTCTTAAATTGAAATAAAGCATCTTTGTTTGAAAGGCAACATATATGGTAGTAGTGGCGGAGCCAGGATTTTGAGCTGGGGGGGGGGGCTCAACCTCCTCTGAGGGACCTTTGAGGCCCCGGTTAGCAAAAAAAAACCAGGGTTTAAAATTTTCCTGGGGGGGGGTGAGCCCCCCCCCCCCCCCAGCCCCACCCTGGCTCCGCCACTATATGGTAGTATCAAACGAAGAGAAAGAATGAATTTCATTTTGTAGATATCAACAAAACGAAGTAAAACTCAATAGTGACGAAAAATAATTAACATAAGGATTACTATTAATTGATTTTTTCCTATGATAAAGATTTAATCACTCATAATATAAGATTGCTGATCTTATCAATGCTATCTTTAACTAGCTGCAGAGTAATATTGTATACAAAGGAACTATATATATTTGAGTAAAAATTAGCATTTATCAAGATCAATAAGCGTTAATTTAATGCTTACCTAGCTGCTGAATAGTTTTTGTAGTTGTAGTTGAAATTGCAGCGGTAGTTATGATTGTAGTTGGAATTGTAGTTGTAGTGTTCACCACTATTCATTATCATAGAAAATTTGTATAAACAAATCAAATAGTATCAGATCTCAGATAGAATGTAATATAGAATTCAGTGCACTGAAATTTTAGGTGAAATCTAAGCAGTGTTTCAAAGTAGAGCATCGATCTCAAATGACCTGAAAACGGATTTTTTTTCTTTCAAAACTGATTTTTGATGGAAAACCTCTGTATTCATCGAAGACAGAAAACCTAGTAAAATTTTCAACAATTCTATTCAATTTGATTTGGCTGAATCAAATGAAATCGAATCACATTGAATTGAACCAAATCCATCGAAATTGTTCTGCTCAAATTCATCGCTTCTGTTATATTTTAAATACGAGTAAAATATTTAAATGTACTGACTGCCATTGCAGTACAAGATCGTTATTCGAAGTATGAAGTTTGTGATTTCAACCTCTGCCTTCATATTAGCAGTGTGAGTGAGATGGCTTTACAGAGATACTCGAAAGAACCGAAGAATACTGTACAGACAAATTGTTACAAGCCCTCTGTCTCGTTTCTCTTGTCGTCAGACAGTTTGCATATTGGCATTCTTCTTTTAAGAAAGAAATCTTAAATGTTTGATATAAGCAGGCATAGCCTCTAAAATAATTAGCCGTACTAAAAGCATTCCGCCAATATGCATTTTGTACATATTAGTATTGTTCTGAAGTGGCTGAGCCAACGGTGCTACAAGCTATGAAATAGAATTTATATACACAGTTGAATTATTGATATTCGTTCAATTCAATGACTAAAGTACTCTTGGGCTCTAGCGATTACTCTGTCACAACTAAATGATCAGTCTTTAATTTTGCAAGAGTAGTCTTTAGAAATATGACAGAGAGAATCATAAATGCGTTTTCTTTCGAGTTAGATGTTAATCGCAGTTGGTTTCAAAAAAAAGGTTACCGAGTGAACTCAATATTCACTAAACTCACGAGGGAACATTCCCGACTGATTCGCACTATTCGAGCTCACATTTTGTTGTTGGTTATGGTTGATTATATATATAAAATACCTAAAAGGATTCGTACCATTGCTGTTCTATTTCAGAGTTATGAGCGGAACAAATGTTATGATAGATGATGTCACCATCTATGCATTGTTTTTTTGTTCTTTTCAGATCTTAATTAGGCATACTTTTTGCGCTTGAGTCAAATGAGATCAATTGATAGTAAAGGGTCCAACCAAAAAGAGTAAGTCCTAGTTAAGATATGAAGAGAACAAAAAAAAATTAGTGCATAGATAGTGGCATTATCTATCATTGCATTTGTTTTGCTTCTAACTCTGAAACCAAGCAGCATTGGCACGAATGCTTTTAGGTATTTTATATATATAATTAACCCTAGTCATCAACAAAATGTGAGCTCGAACGGTGTGAATCAGTTGGAAATGTCTCCTCGTCAGTCGAGTATACAACGAAAACTGTGAATAAAGAGAAATGTAGCACAATAGAATTGAAGTACTGTTATGGAGATCCTAATATATGATACGTTCTACAGAATCGAATCGAGTGATCACTTGTTCAATTTGTTTCGGTCTCTAATGTACATTCAAAAGTTCACTGCGTCTTCACCCATTGCTAAATATAACTGAAACAGACTCTATATTTCAAATTAATAGATATAGTTCACGACAAGAGATGAAATCTTTTTTTTCGATGATTACAATTCGTTTTGTCTCTGTCATGCGTTATCTACTTTTTCAAATGTTCTTCGACTCTTCCTCACTGCTCCTACGTCAACATGAACTGGATATGTGAGAATGTGTGAACGATGAAGAAACAACTTTAAGAAAGATTCGGCTTTCACTCGAGTCTGTAGATCACTGTTTGTTTTCTTACTTGCCATCGGTGGACAGAGTTGTTCATTGAAACTGGGCATCGGATAACAAACAGAAAAATTATGACATCGAGGATGATGAACACATCTATGGCTAGGTTCACGACAGAGATTGTTTGAGTTGTCACATGCAATTAGCTCAGAACAATCCACGAATTCATCGGTACAAATGCCAGTGTCAACATCACCTGCTAGATGGAAACAGGCACACGCACTATTTAACGAACACCGATCATATTGAGCAATCCCAGGGCAGAATTGAGATTTCACTCGAACTAACGACATACTAAATTAATAGAAGGACATGTAAAAAGAAAACAAGAATCAAACCTGTAAAGCTTAAAAGGAAGATTGTTCAACGTTAGATAAGTAGGAAAAAACTAGATTTTAGAATTACCTGAATAGAATGAATATGAAACAACGAATTATTGTTGAAACCATCGCTTGCTTTGAAATGAGATAGAATAGCGGCGGCATCCGTCTTTATATATAATGAAGAGACAATGTTTTTCGCATGCGCCGAGAGGAAAGAAGTGCAATATGCGATCTTTTGATAAATAGAAATTTGATATTGCTCCACTGCTTTCTTAAGCACTTAATTTTTCCTCGAACAAGTAATCTTTATAGAAGAAAAAAAAGCGTCGTAAAAGCAATATAGGATTGCTTCTGCGATATAAGCATTTAATAGGCTCCTGCCATCATTTGAAATATGAATATTGTTATTGCCAATCATCGACTTAGTGTGTAATGACGACCTAGGGTAATTTTAATGACAAATTCTGTTTTTAATATTTCTACTTTTATTAAAGCCATGGACATATTAGAAGACTCCCCCCCCCCCCCCATAATAGAAGACCCCCTTCAGAAGAACGACGCAAAAGACAGATTAGAAGACCCCCTCAATAATAGTTGATTTCTTAGTTCTTCCAACATCTATTTATTCATAATTTTTGCATCTTTATATCTTTTGAGCGTCTCTTGAAAATATTTTTCTATCTTTTCTGGGGTACCAAGCGGTCTATGTTCAAACAATATCATACGTAATTAACTCAGATATACATGCATGTTATCTCCAATTTATCCTCTTTTAACTCTCAATCTCACTTGCCTTCTCTATGACGTTTCTTTGAAGGCACATGAATTGAAAGTTAATAGAAGACAAATTATGAGCACCGTATAGATATACAGGGTGTCCCAAAAATAACCTACCAAAAGTTTTTTCGTATATATTTGCTATTTTATTTAACTTTATCAACAATTTTTTTAAAAATTATAGATGAATATATCGAATTTTTATTTATCCAAACGAACTTCCACATTACTGTGTAAAACTATCATCTTAAGTGAAGATACAATAGTTTTGCTTTCGTTCTAATATTCGAGTAATTCAAAAGTTGACTAAGGTGTTTTCTTTGATATTTTCATATGGTTAGATAGAGTTCATCGTGTTCTACAAGATTATGTAAATTGAAAGATTTTTAAACCTTTTTTTGAGACAAAATCTACAGGAAATTCTCACGGTAAATTGGAATAGTTAGAGAACAAAACGCTACATAATGTTTTTCTGGAAATATAAAGAAAACAAAATTTTTATATTTTTATCTAAGGCGATCGCTTTACACAATAATATGGAAGTTCGTTCGGATAAATAAAAACTCGATATACTCACCTATAATTTAAAAAAATTTTGTTGATAAAGTTAAATAAAAGAGCCTATATATACGAAAAAATTTTTGGTAGGTTATTTTCGGGACACTCTGTAACATGTTGCAAACAGCAACCATTGTTATAAGTGACTTTGATAGATACGTGGAAAATTCAAAAACTTTGAATTTCTTCTTCTGTTTGATTATGTCAAGTAAAAATATTTTTTGATGTATTCCTTTTATCATGTGAAAAACACTTTTGCTATAATGAACTGTCAAATATGTTCTGCTATGTATATAGTGTATTTTGTAAAAAAGATACTTTTGTCGTAAAATGTTCTTCGTAGCTAGAATAAAGACTTTTTTATTGTACTAGTCCTGAAAAAGCTAAAGAAATATTTAGGAACAACTAGTGTTCATAAAAAAAGACGTGTATGAAAACTATCCTTCAGAATAGCAAAAAAATCACTTTTCTAAGGGACATATTAGAAGACCCCTCTTACGACTTGCGAGCGACAGGACAGATTAGAAGACCCCGGGTCTTCTAATGTGTCAATGGCTTTATTTGCACTGTATATATAGGAGATGTATGTCTTTGAAAAAAAAGATTCTTTCACTTAGACTACAATTATTATGGGATCTTTCTCCGTGTATCAAATGATAAACATATCGAGTTGAATGAGTTAGAAGAATTTCTTCTATTGGCTATATTTGTTCATGAGAATGTTTCCGTAGACTAAAAGATAAATAGCAAGCTGAAAGGAGAATTATTTAACAGAACAAACGACTAAGTGAAGAAGGAGAAAAGGAAGATTTAACGATATTACAGAAAAACACATATTCAATATACGGGTGATTTGCAATTTCATTTATATCATTTTAATGCGAGATGTAAACTAGCAATAACTCTGATTTCTGTTGACTAAAAGTGCTGCTGAGAGCAAATGGATATTAAAAAAAAAACTTGAATATAGTCTCAAACGGTAGAGAAATGAAGACCTGAGATCAACAAATTTTGTGAGCTCCACAAGACGAAGTAGTTCTATTCGGATAAAAGCATATTCATTTTATTTGTTTTGAAATTATAAAATCAACATGGAATCTAACTCTAAAAAGAAAATCCGAATAATTTTACGTAAAATATAATCACCATTCTATTCATAAATTTTCTTTTAAAATGTTCTACTCAATTCTATGATTTATAGAGTTCTCACAACAGAATCTAGCACGTAATGATAGATGATGATTAAATCGGATGCAATCGAGAGTCAATACAAAGAAAATAAAACCTATGATAATTATATTAGTATGTACATTAGAAGTAGTGAACTGCATCGGAGTCATTTCGGAGTCGTCATCGGAGTCAAATAAATTTCTTGCCAAGAATTCATTTTTAGCATTAGAAAGTTTTTGACTTGAAGATTTTGTTCTCTGATATTTTCTCTACAAACTGATGAATTTTGAAGATCCAATCGATGCCTTATCGAGGGTTTCTGTCACGGAAGAAAGTCGGAGTCACAAAAAAGCGGAGTCAATTTGGACTCCGATTTTCTTTCCTGACCGTAACCCTCGATAAGACATCGATTGGATCTTCAAAATACATCAGTTTGTAGAGAAAATATCAGAGAACAAAACCTTCAAGTCAAAAACTTTCTAATGTTAAAAATGAATTCTCGGCAAGAAATTTATTTAACACCGATGACGACTCCGAAATGACTCCGATGCAGTTCACTACTATAGAGTAGAGTAGACTTTGGCTTGTTACGAGCTATGTTCATCTTCCATTTTCTCTTGTCTTTCATATTCATTCTCAATTTCACCCATAAATACATCAGGTTCATTTACCTGATCATAAATAATATCAGGATTATTCATTACTACAGTAGAAGATTTTACTATTAATTCATCTATTGTACCATCAAACTGAACGTTTTCTTTAATATATCTATTAATAACACTATGTACATGTTCAATAACCTTCAAAGTGAAGTCTAATGTGATACCAATATGTTTGTCACCATCGCCATAAAAACTCTGTAATGTATGGTATCGTTATTTTGATTGGCATAATTCAAGAAAGGAAGCATAATACAAAAAAATGATCCCGAAATATGTTAGTATATAGTTTTGTGTATACGTACTATATTTGGAAACTTTTAAACAAAGTTTAGTGTACAAATGAAAATCAAACTTGTAATAGCATATGAAAAATCGATATACATAAAATTATTTAAGGAATGTGTACAAATAGAAAGAGATAAAAATCTAAGATATACACTATAGATAGAGAACTAGTAGAGGATTATAATGGTAGATATATAATCAATTCATATCAGTCTATAGTACATGAAAAGTAACAACAGACATTACCATGAAACGAAAATGAATATTAAAAAAAGAATCAAAATTTTACTCAGACTTTTCGCTGTTCAGACTATAGCAAAAATTTTGTTTTTCTTTCAATAAATTATTTGAATCAAGGCTGCATGTATCAAACGATTACTGCAGAACATGAGAGATAGGTGTTCGCTAGTAATCTGTGTGTTCAAGTTGAAGCGATCGGTACTGCTTTTACCGAAAAAGAGATCCATTGTGGCAGTTGTGTGATTGATCTTGTAACTAAAATAAATGACCTACTCGCTTCTAATTCGAATCTATCAAGTCGAATTTACAATCAACGGTCCTCAATAGGCTGCATTAAACTTTCTCAAATGAATATCGAAATATCAACGGAAGAATCAGAAATAGAAAAACATCTTCACGTATGAGAAACGATGGCAAGTTGTACACAACATTCGATTCCCAACACTTAGCATTGAGTGAAGGGTGTGAGTGTAGGTGAGAATTTGCGTCAACATTGGATATCTCATGCTTCTTTTTTAGCAGACTCTTGACTTGTCAACATCTATTATCAACTCATGACATCGCCCACACCAGAATTTACACTACGTGGATAGGCCGAGAATTTGAATCTTGTTAGATGAATGTATGAGTGCTGATACAAATGTCGGTTAAGAGAAGACTACCAACTACATTCACATCAGAACTTTCTCTCCTTCGCTTGCTGCTGCATCATTATGTGTTTTTGACTTCGAATTTTCTGTAAGCTGTACAACCATATACTCAAGCATTTTTATATCTGTTCTTTTTCTTCTGTGTAAAAACTAAATAATATTCACTATTATTTTTTTGTTGACTTATCAATGGAACAATAATATCTCAATGCCAAAACACAAAAAAAAAATAGCAATAGGTAACGCGAGAAATACAATTAACATTGTACGTTGTTATTGACTTATCGAATCTCCTGGGATCTTTATCTTTATCTGAGTTAAATATTGGACGTAACTCAATTTGCGCAGTACAATGAAAGCAGCGAAAGTGAATGATTCACCAGATAGAAGATACAAAAATTGATGTACGTGCCATTCTGTATTCATTACTGCTTGTTTCAACAACATAACTAACACAATATGAAGATGACGACGACGACCTCAATACTTTTGTATGTAGGGCTGCTTCTGTTTAGTTTAATGTTCAAATTGACTAGCACAGCGGTTATTGATCTAATGAAAGGTGATGATTTAGGCCATGGCACGTTGCAGGAACAATGATCAGACTCTATCTCAGGAACCATCGATAAAAATCTAGGTTATGTGAATCCAGTAACACCGTTTCGACAACATCAATGGATCCCAGACACGGATAACAGGAAGACTGAACACGTCGTGCAGAAAAGATATGTTCATGGATGTCGGTCTTCACATCATCATCATCGCCATGGATCGAATCCAT